ATAATAATAATAATAATAATAATAATAATAATAATAATAATAATAATAACAATAATAATAATATAATAATAATAATAATAATAATAATAATAATTATTATATAATAATAATAATAATAATAATAATAATAATAATAATAATAATAAGAACAACAACAACAACAACAACAATAATAATAACAACAATACCAATAATAATAATAATAATAATAATAATAATAATAATAATAATAATAATAATAATAATAATAATAATAATAATAATAATAATAATAATAATAATAATAATAATAATAATAAGAAGAAGAAGAAGAAGAAGAAGGACAACAACAACAACAACAACAATAATAATAATAATAATAATAATAATTTCGGGGTTGGGTTAGACGTTGAACGCAAAGGCTTACCGATGTGTGTTGTGCTACCGGTTGGGTGTTCCATTGTTCACTGACACGACGTCGTGCACTCCTTGTTCAAGGGTTTTTACTGGGGATATTTTCAGTGATCATACGGTGTTGTGTGTTGGAATTGTGGGTATTAAACATCGGCATAATGTTGTTCGGGATACCCTTGTTGATGTTTGCTATAGGTATGGGGTTTCAACGAGAAAGGAGGTTGAAATTAGGTTGTCTAGAGGGAACGCCCCCGCAGATGTGTTACTTAAGTCATCTTATCGTGGTCGCGACGTCTGTGTTTATTTGACAAGGTCTTCTTCTTTGACTCATTCTGTGCTATCTAACTTTGTTTCTGGACGGGTTGTGGCTCTATGTGGCTCTTCGGAACCGGGTTATGTATGAAGGTAGTTGTCAGGCGATTAGATATGGTTTCATTCCCTTCTCCTTTTCTTCACTTGGGGTATTAAAGAAGGAGGTTGTTGCATTGCTGAAACGGGTTAAGAAATTCTTCACTAGGATAGGATTTGCTATATCTAGAGGAGTGGGGGGCCCAGATTGTATCTCGGCTTCCCACTAATTTTTTTTAGGTTATATGACTTTGTCTGTTTTTGAGATATAATAATAATAATAATAATAATAATAATAATAATAATAATAATAATAATAATAGTAATAATAATAATAATAATAATAATAATAATAATAATAATAATATTATTATTATTATTATTATTATTATTATTATTATTATTATTATTAATAATAATTGGTAATTACATTAGTAATTAAGTACTGTTGTTGGTATCTTATTATTATCCTAGTTAACAAAGATTTGTTGTTGTTATCCTCACCGAGTCTATTTGCATTTGTTGTTGGTATCTTACCTGCGTCAATTTGGTATTAGAGCCATGCAGTTAAGATTAAGCTAAGTTACTAATTGCATTAGTAATTAAGTAAAACTGGAGATACAAGGCCGTCTACTGAGTGTAAGAAACCTGATTTTAAGCATTGCTATCACATTCCTGAAAATACTAGTAATTTTAGTCTAGTCCTTAACTATATAGTAGATCAAATTGGTGAATTAAAATCAAAAGTTGATAACATACGTGCTCATTTTATTAATATTGAAAACAAGATATCAATAACCAAAACCGATATTAATAAAAAAGTAAGTGAGCTAAAAGAATAAGTTAAACAAGTACAGTACAACTTGCTTTAACAAACGAAGTTAGACATCAATCTAATAACTAAAGAAGTATCACCTAATAAGGAAAAAATCATCCTTTATAAATATAAATATCCTTTTAAAAGTTTAGATAAAAATAAGAAGTTTACGGTATCACTCTCTAAAAGACCTATTAACAAAGAAAAGAACAAAGAGACTAAAGATGAGCCATCATCTTCAGGATAAAACGCTTGAAGAAATGAATATAAGGAAGAAGACCCTGATGAGCTAAACAAAATCATGAAAATAGTTTCTAAAAAAGGGATTGCTTCTAATAATGAAGTAGAGGAAAATAATTATGTTTCTTTAGAAGAAGATTTATATCAACAAATGGGATTAATGAAGTTAGATGATCTAGACTTTCTACCTATTGAAGTTGTTCAACAAAAAATTGATAATAAACTAGGCAAAAGTGTAATGGATAATAATGATGTTGGAGAAGAAATTATTATTGTAAACAATGTTATCCAAAGATCTAGGTATCAAGAAGAAGGAAGTTGTATACGACAAAGATACAGATCAGGGATGACTATCCGGTTTAGTGTCAAGGTTATTCCTAATCAAATACCTAAACAAGAAGAAGTAACTCTTGAACCCATAATCCAAACCGGTTATAAGATTAAATTAGATGGTGTAAGAGATAGACAAGATGTTTTAGATAAGTGGAAAAAGAGCATGAGTAGTGTACTCAATTTAAACACTGAATGGACGTCTGAAAATTTCTTAAACTATATTGAACATAGTTTTTGTGGTTGTGTAGAAGACTGGTATGACGATATAGATGAAGAAATCAAAGCTACATTAAGAGCTAGAGAATCTCTTACTATAATGTTTAGATAGTTAAGTCAATACATGTGTTAGAATTTATTGGTTATAGAACTAATCCTAATGAGAAAAGAATGGAATATCAAAGATAGTTAAGTAATTTGTTCATCTATAGTATGAAGTATGTCGAGAGCTACATTATGGAGTTTGAAACATATTATTATAAAATTGGTGAAAATGAAACAAATCTCGGAATGTTCTATGATAAACTACCAAGTCCTCTTAATGAAGAATTTAGTGAAAAATATTAAGAATGGAGAGAGAAATTCTTATCCAAGGATGCCCTATGTACTAGAATTGCTTTCTTAAGAAAATGCATTGAAAAGAAATATTGAGAGATTGCAAGAACTCAACAAATGAAAAGACAATTTCTTACTTGTTGGGATTTCCTAAATAACCATGGATGCGAAAGAAAAAGTTATATCAAGAGAAAAAACTATTAAAAAAATAAATTTGATAGATTAAGAGGAGAAACCTATAAGAATTGGTACTATAAACATAAATATAGGAAACCTAGTAGGTTAGAGACATATTGTCCTGAGAAAAAAAAAAACATGCAAGTGTTGGTCTTGTGGAGAATTAAGAAACTATGCTAATGAATGTACTAAAGCTAATCATAAACCAATGAAATCCTTAGGTAGTTGGGACTACATAGAAATACCATAAGACGAGGTTTTAAAATTTGCTTTGAGTAATAATAAAGGAATAGTAGAAATAATAGAGGAAGAAAATGAGCATAATGAAGAACCTGAAGACAGTGAGTTTGAAGATGAAAATTATGAAGAAATAAATAATATGATGGAAGGAGAAGTATTAGTGAAATTAGAATCAGATGATGATGAGAATAAACGTAAAATTACTATAGGTCAACTAAAAAGAGTTGAGTACTCAATTGAAGATAAATATTTAGATCAAAGGAACAAAGAAAGCTGGAATTTTTCTCAGATTACTAAATATAAAATATTTAAAACTTTTTTCTTTAAAACTAGAACTGAGTATGTATGTGAAGAAATGGAAGGAAGTATAGTAATCGAGGATTGTGAAAAGAAAGTAGCAGAAATTAATATCACAAACTGGAAAAGCATGAAGAACCAAATAGAAAAACGAAATTATTGTTATATTTGTACTGGTGTAATGCAAGTATACATAACTCCTTTACAAGATTTTGGTAAAATGTTAAATGTTTAAGCTTTGTTTGTGATATTAGACATAAAGAGTTTTATGAGAAATTGTTAACGGTATCACCTATAGCTTGAGTTAGGGAATTGTAAGTTATATTTGTGAACCAAGATATTATGTGAGGTTAAACGATTCATATGTTCCAAAGTTTCTAGCAATCATGTTATTAACTGATGGAGCTGAGTGAACATGCATAAAGGGACTCGGCCTATACAATTAAGATCGAAGGTAGTTTATAAATTTGTTAACATTATAGATTCATTTTTCAAGAAACAAATAGTAGATGCTCAGAAATATGAGCAAAGAGGAGGCCCTAAGAACAAAATTACCCCAATAAAAGTACATCCTAAAGAAATAGAAATTGAAAAAACTTGGGATGATTCTTTATGAATCCTGCAGTTAGTAACATGTCAAGTAAGTTGTTAATTGATTAATCAGGATTACTTCATATTAGGATAACTACAAACCCAAAAATGTAGAGAAGTATGAGTCTTATATCACCAAGTCTAAGTAGATAAATTAAACTATAATAAAGATAAAAAAATAAGTCAATGAAAAACCAGAAGAGAATAAAGAATAACTATTAGCTTTAATAAAGAAACTAAATGAAAAATACGAAACTAAGAAAGCCTTAAAACAACCAGCAAGGCATAGTATAGATATTGGTTCATGTTCTAATTTAGATATAAATCCAAATGACCCTATTATTGAAAAAAGAAAGGTAATTGATATAAGACAAAAATTGTGAAGGAACCAGTATATGAAGATGAAATAAATATGCAAATGGAACCATATAATGAGATGTCCAATACTAATCTTAATAGCATTTATATTCCAATTGATATATGCATTGAAGATTATAAAAATATAAATTATATGCATATATTGATAGTGGTTGTTCTATATGTTTTGGAACAAGATCATTATTTCCTGAATTTCTATGGAAGAAGGCTAAAAATCCTATGCAAGTTAGAATTGCTAATAGTAGTGTCATGATGCATACGAAAATAATAGAAGGATTACCAATACAAATTGGAGGTGTTCAATGTGTTATTCCTATTTTATGGGCGACTAATCAGCCTAATCATGATGTCATAATAGGAAATTAATTTCAAAGATTATACTCTCCATGCACTCAAACCATTGATCAAATTATCTTTACTATTAATGGTCATTCGGTTCCAATACAGAAGATAACTAAAGCTCATACACATAAAACTATGGAATATACGCGCAACCAGCAAGGTGATAAGGTTACAACTACATAACGAGTGGTTGCACTTAGAATTTCTGAGTGTGAATCATCATTAATAGATCAGATAATTAAGTAGGAAGAAAAATTATGTGAAAAATTATATTCAACGAATCCATTAGAACACTGGGAAAAGGATAAAGCATTTGCTAAGAAAACTCTAAAAAATGCGAATAAGACTATTAGAGTAAGACAAATGGTTTATACCTACCAAGATATATTAGAATTTGATGAACCTATGCTTAACCTATGATCCCAGATTAAATTGAAGATAGAAAACAGTTAGTTAGAGAGATTTCTAGGATGTTTAAACTATGCTTCTCACTTCATAGAAAATCTTGCTTTGTTAAGAAAATCATTACAACAAAAACTCCAGAAAAAATTAACTAGGAACTGGAAGAAAAGTGATTCCAAAATTGTTCAAGACTTAAAAGCTATATGTAAGGATCTTCCCGTACTAACACTTCCTTCTAGTGAAGATGATTTAATCCTTGAAACATATGTTAGTAATGAGCACTAGAGTGTTGTGTTAAAAATCAATAAAGGAGAAAGATTATGCCAATACAGCAGTGAAAGTTTTAATAAATAAATTACCCTAGAATGCAAACGGAAATTGGTACGGTTGTCGCGTGTCTACCAAAAATAAACCTAACTCTAACCTCCTAAAAATGTAGTACGGTAAGCTAGGGTTGATCCCAAGGAAAATTGGATATATCAAATTATTTTTGCTAATGTTAGAAACCCCTGTTTTAAAGATGGACTTAATTATCTAAAATATAAACTATGGACTCGAAAACAAAATGAGTACGGAGGAATAAAACTAACAAAATTAAATGATCAAAATCAAGAATGACAAAATAGGGATCATGAGCTATAATATAACATTGGAATATCGATTGATCATCGAATTACATAAATTATGTTTTTATCTCAATGCGAGCTGATGAACAAAAACAAGCATTCGACACTTCCCTCAATTGCAAATAAACCAAACAAGCTCTTGGAGTATTGTCTAACTAACTAACAATCTAGAACAAGCTCTCTAGTCTAGATTAATTAGCAGCATTAATAACTAGGAAGCAGCTAACTTAATCTCACAAGCTCGGATTCGTGCAACTTAAAGGGTTGATAATCATAGGCATCAGACAATTTTTAGTCACCTATCAAATACCTAAGTGCTACTAAGGAATACTAACCCGAACAATTACGTATCACACGGTAATAATCTAGCAATCAAACTAACAAATTATACTAAAGATGGTTGGTCTGTAATATAATCTGAATGTTCATACCAATAAAACAGAATACCAATCCAATCAAGACATAAACATATTTCTGTAAAATCACCACATTCTTATTCTCACAACGCAATAATCTAATGTATAATATATTTCCGTACCCACTAATAATCTAGCCTAACATACTAAAAAGTAAAAGTATAATAATGAAAGCTATATAAATCATATTACTCAAAGGAAATAAGGAAATAAATTTTAAACGAGTAAATGAATTCAATAATACTTGAAGTTACTTCTTAATCTACTACTAATATTGATGAACAGAAATAAACTACTACCAAATCCAACTATTGAAATACACATGCAAGAGTTGTAAATTAAAAATAGAATCTAGAATACCAAATCAATGAAATAGCAACCTCCAACGAAGTTCCTTGTTCTGCAAGCCTAGAATACAAGAAAAACTTCTTTATCCTTATAGCAAATGAAGGACTACGGAGTAGATAAGTCACCTCGACTTTGCCGTCCTCTCCTTTGCTTCACCGCTGCTCAGCTACTTCATTGCCACTGCTCTACTTAACTGCCGCTGCTCTGCTACTTTGCAGCAGCTTCGCTAGCCTAGAAAACAACCCAACCAACCTCCTTTGATGTTCTTCGCTCCCCTGATTTTGATGTTGCTGCTTTTCTTCTGATTTTTTTTTTCAATTTCCTACCCAGCCACCTCTCTCATAAGCTCTATATTCTCCTCCTTAAAAATCAAATTCTTACCACAAAAAATACGAAACTCCATCCCTTTTTTGTTTCGGTGTAGCCAATCTCCAGCTAATCCGAGTTTCTCGCTCCACTTATTATCCAATTTCATCTTTAGCTCTTGCTTGACTGTTTGGTACCCACAAAAATCGCTCAAGAAATTTACCTCACTGCTCATCGAAAGAAAGAGAAAAAGATCTGATGAGTATTGCACGCTTGTAGCTCTCTTTCCTCTAGTATGCCCATTCACAATAATATCTTATTGGGCTTAGACAAATGTGACTTAATCTGGTCTTCTGGCCTTGGTTTCTTTTAATCCTAGCATTGGTAAAAAAATGTAATTTAATGCCATAATCTTCCTTCCTACAGCCAAATAAATAAAATAGTAGTAACTTATGTCTACGAAAGAAAATTACTTAGAATACTCTTAAATTATCAAATATCAATATAAAATCAAGAGTTTAATATATATAAATAATATATTTACGACCTTATCAAACTCCCCCAAGCTTATAATTTTGCTTGTCCTCAAGCAAAGACAGGAAATTACAAAGGAACTAGACTCTTGATTTAACAATATGCAACTTGACATGTTACAATTCCTCTACTTTGCTCAATGACAGCTTCAAGTCAAGTATATATATGCAGGTGGAAAATTAATTTCAAGAATTTATGAACCAAAATACCAACTCGTAAACAATTACAGCCTAGCTTCCATCAACAATGTAGTGGAGTAACTCAAAGATCCTTAGGACTTGAAAAAGGATGCAGTGGTGTCAAGGTACAGCGAGGTTTAGAGAGTGTTTTGGAGTGTGGTAATAAAGATGAAGATTAGTAGAGCAAATCAACACAACAAACACAACATATGAGTTCATCTCACAGCCCTTGACTTCATGATATTAATTTTTTTTTTGAACGTGTTTCATGACTCTTAATGTCAAGTACCTGTCAAGTAACCCATGTAGCGAGCTTTCAACCAGTGACTCCCGGTCTAGTTGGCCCAAGGCACTAGGTTTTAAGATACCCCTACGGATTTACTAACTCGAGTTACTCAATCACGATACATAAAACATCACACGTACTTATATGGGTTCTGTTCTTTATTTATTCATTTTTTTTTATCCCATACATTGGTACGTAGAGCCTTTAACATGAAACTTTTAAAAATGTAAACTTCACCACCTTACATCATTAGCACAACCATAATCCAATTTACCCTTCGATATGCTCTACTAATCTTATAGGTAAGTATTTCATGTTTCAGACATTTCGCAAGAAAAGTAGGTCTATAAAACTCAAATTGGGTTTAATAATGAATCATGTCATGGGTAAGATTTTTGGCTTATGTGGTGTAAAACTTTGATGCCTAACTCATTTCTTTCTTTTTACTCGACCACAAGCTGACTTCCACCAGGCTAGCTATTATTTACGGAATCAAATTTTTTTTGTTTTTTTTTTTTTGCATACATACAAGTCTATCAGCCAAAGTTAAGCATTGTAGAGTGAATGTACTATTCATATGCAAAGCACTGTCTAAATTTCATTGTCAGACTCAATACCATACCATACCAAGAGACCGCAAGAGACCGAATATAATGCATTCCCCCCCAAGCTTAATTCACACATTGCCCTCAATGTGTGACTGTAAGAAAATAAGGGGATAAAAATAGAAAGAGACAAGGAAACGAGCTCACCGGATGAAGTTGAATATTGTAGGGTACTGACTGTGTAGCCAGCCTGATGGCATCCCCCCAAGCTTGGACTCGCTCACGAAGTCTTGCTGTAAGCACATTGGAGATGCTCAACCGCCTTTTCAATCTTACGGTGTCAGATAATCTGGCAGCAAATGTATGTGCTCCCTTGAATGTGTCCGAATGAAGTTGCTTGGATGATTGACTGTATATCTAGCTTGATGGTATCCCCTATGCTTGAATATGTTCATATTTTCTTGCTGTAAACACTTTCGGATATAAGCAGGTGCTGTTTCAACTCAGCTTTAACTCCACCATTGTGTCCAGCCAATCCCTCTATCTTGCAACAACTGATACCAAATAAAAACAGAATTAGTTTCCTGAATATTATAGGGGGCTTAAAAATAGGAGCAAACGAAATATCTGAGCTGATTCTTTTTTTTTTTTTTTTTTTTTTTTTTTTTTTTTTTTTTTTTTTTACGAGAAATCAAAGTAAAAAAAATTATTAGAAAAAATTCCTAAATTTGGGCTGCTTCCCAAGAGCGCTTTATTTATCGTCGTTAGCTCGATGTCTTTCCAACATACTAGTCTTCATAATTTGGAGCTTCTAACTCCATCACTTCAATGTTCTAGACCTGATAACCCTCATAGTAAGGCTTTAGTTGATGACCGTTCACCTTGAATTCCTTCCCCGTCTCCTCACTACGAATCTCAACCGTTCACCTTGAATTCCTTCACCCATCGAGAACGGAGTTTATCGGGAAAACGTTTGAGCCGAGAATGGTACAAGAGAACTTTCTGCCCCACGGTAAATGTCTTTCGTGTTATGCGCTCATCATGGAATGCCTTAGTCTTCTCCTTGTAAATTCTCGCATTCTCGAAAGCATCATTTCGGATTTCCTCAAGCTCTTATAACTGAAGTTTCCTTTGCTCACCTGCTGCATCCATCTCCATATTGCATTGCTCCACGGCCCAAAAAGCTTTATGTTCCAATTCTACTGGAAGGTGACAAGGTTTGCCAAACACTAGTCTGTAAGGAGACATCCCAATCGGTGTTTTATACGATGTTCTGTACGCCCACAGAGTATCGTTGAGGCGGAGACTCTAATCTTTCCTGTTTGGATTCACAGTCTTCTCTAGAATGGACTTGATTTCTTGATTGGAAACTTTTGCCTGTCCATTTGTTTGTGGGTGATACGTAGTGGACACTCGATGAAACACATTATACTTATTCAAGAGAGATCCTATTGTCTTATTCCAAAAGTGTGTCCCATTGTCATTGATGATGGCTCTTGGGAATCCGTATCTAGCAAAAATATTTGATTTCAAAAATTTTGCAACAACTTTAGAATCATCAGTACGGGTGGCTATAGCTTCCACCCATTTCGAGACATAATCGGCAGCAAGCAAAATATATTGAAAACTGAAAGAAGAGGGGAAGAGTCCCATGAAATCC